GCCGTCGGGGTCGTATTTGCTGCTACGATTTAGTTTTCTGCAAGATTGCACAAGAACACCAGCTGCACTCAATAAAAAAATACGTCGTAAATACTGTTAGCGAATAAGAATTTGCGAAAATTAAAGAGATAACATTGATGTGCCTGGATCTGATGAGTCAGTAAATTATACAGGAATTTTAGGATCTAGACATAAAAACACTTGTGGCACTATAAAAAAACGCAAAGCACTATTACATAAAATACCAATGAATATGGAATGTGACATCGAATCACATAATTGCGGTCCGAGTCACATCGTGGTCGTATGGCGACGCAATAATTGTGTGTTCTGCAAAATTGAACTGCTACACCTGTCACAGCCAAACATGCAACTATTTCAAGAATAAATTTAGCAGGTGCAAATTCGCAAATATGGAGATGTACAGAACCCAACGACTTATTCAATTATCCAAGTAAATAGGAATTCGTAAAAAAATTAGATGGCACAGGATGAAGATGTACTTAAGACTCCGTGGCCTAATGGATAAGGCGTCTGACTTCGAATCAGAAGATTGCGGGTTCGAGTCCCGTCGGGGTTGTATGGGCTGCTACGATTTAGTTTTCTGCAAGATTGCACAAGAACACCAGCTGCACTCAATAAAAAAATACGTCGTGAATACTGTTAGCGGATAAGAATTTGCGAAATTAAAGAGATAACATTGATGTGCTGGATCAGATGACTCAGTCAATTAGACAGGAATTTTAGGATCTAGACATAAAACACCTTGTGGCACTATAAAAAAACGCAAAACACTATTACATAAAATACCAACGAATAAGGCATGTGACATCGAATCACATAATTGCGGTCCGAGTCACATTGTGGTCGTATGGCGATGCAATAATTGTGTGTTCTGCAAAATTGAACTGCTACACCTGTCACAGCCAAACATGCAACTATTTCAAGAATAAATTTACCAGGTACAAATTCGCAAATATGGGGATGTGCAGAACCCAACGACTTATTCAATTATCCAGGTAAATAGGAATTCGTAAAAAAATTAGATGGCACAGGATGAAGATGTACTTAAGACTCTGTGGCCTAATGGATAAGGCGTCTGACTTCGAATCAGAAGATTGCGGGTCCGAGTCCCGTCGGGGTCGTATGCGCTGCTACGATTTAGTTTTCTGCAAGATTGCACAAGAACACCAGCTGCACTCAATAAAAAAATACGTCGTGAATACTGTTAGCGGATAAGAATTTGCGAAATTAAAGAGATAACATTGATGTGCTGGATCAGATGAGTCAGTCAATTAGACAGGAATTTTAGGATCTAGACATATAAAACACCTTGTGGCACTATAAAAAAACGCAAAATACTATTACATAAAATACCAAGGAATAAGGCATGTGACATCGAATCACATAATTTTGGTCCGAGTCACATTGTGGTCATATGGCGATGCAATAATTATGTGTTCTGCAAAATTGAACTGCTACTACTGTCACAGCCAAACATGCAACTATTTCAAGATTAAATTTAGCAGGTGCAAATTCGCAAATTCGCAAATATGGGGATGTGCAGAACCCAACGACTTATTCAATTATCCAGGTAAACAGGAATTGGTAGAAAAATTAGATGGCACAGGATGAAGATGTACTTAAGATTCCCTGGCCTAATGGATAAGGCGTCTGACTTCCAATCAGAAGATTGCTGGTTTGAGTCCCGTCTGGGTCGTATGGGCTGCTACGATTAGTTTTCTGCAAGATTGCACAAGAACACCAGCTGCACTCAATAAAAAAATACGTCGTGAATACTGTTCGCGGATAAGAATGTGCGAAATTAAAGAGATAAAATTGATGTGCTGGATCAGATGAGTCAGTCAATTAGACAGGAATTTTAGGATCTAGACATATAAAACACCTTGTGGCACTATAAAAAAAAAACGCAAAATACTATTACATAAAATACCAACGAATAAGGCATGTGACATCGTATCACATAATTGTGGTCCGAGTCACACTGTGGTCGTATGGCGATGCAATAATTGTGTGTTCTAATTCGCAAATATGGGGATGTGCCGAACCCAACGACTTATTCAATTATCCAGGTAAATAGGAATTGGTAAAAAAATTAGATGGCACAGGATGAAGATGTACTGAAGACTCCGTGGCCTAATGATAAGGCGTCTGACTTCGAATCAGAAGATTTCGGGTTCGAGTCCCGTCGGGGTCGTATTGGCTGCTACGATTTAGTTTTCTGCAAAATTGCACAAGAACACCAGCTGCACTCAATAAAAAAATACGTCGTGAATACTGTTAGCGGATAAGAATTTGCGAAATTAAAGAGATAACATTGATGTGCTGGATCAGATGAGTCAGTCAATTAGACAGTAATTTTAGGATCTAGACATATAAAACACCTTGTGGCACTATAAAAAAAAACGCAAAATACTATTACATAAAATACCAAGGAATAAGGCATGTGACATCGAATCACATAATTGCGGTCCGAGTCACATTGTGGTCATATGGCGATGCAATAATTGTGTGTGCTGCAAAATTGAACTGCTACACCTGTCACAGCCAAACATGCAACTATTTCAAGATTAAATTTAGCAGGTGCAAATTCGCAAATTCGAAAAATATGGGGATGTGCAGAACCCAACGACTTATTCAATTATCCAGGTAAATAGGAATTCGTAAAAAAATTAGATGGCACAGGATGAAGATGTACTTAAGACTCTGTGGCCTAATGGATAAGGCGTCTGACTTCGAATCAGAAGATTGCGGGTCCGAGTCCCGTCGGGGTCGTATGGGCTGCTACGATTTAGTTTTCTGCAAGATTGCACAAGAACACCAGCTGCACTCAATAAAAAAATACGTCGTGAATACTGTTAGCGGATAAGAATTTGCGAAATTAAAGAGATAACATTGATGTGCTGGATCAGATGAGTCAGTCAATTAGACAGGAATTTTAGGATCTAGACATAAAACACCTTGTGGCACTATAAAAAAACGCAAAACACTATTACATAAAATACCAACGAATAAGGCATGTGACATCGAATCACATAATTGCGGTCCGAGTCACATTGTGGTCATATGGCGATGCAATAATTGTGTGTTCTGCAAAATTGAACTGCTACACCTGTCACAGCCAAACATGCAACTATTTCAAGAATAAATTTACCAGGTACAAATTCGCAAATATGGGGATGTGCAGAACCCAACGACTTATTCAATTATCCAGGTAAATAGGAATTCGTAAAAAAATTAGATGGCACAGGATGAAGATGTACTTAAAACTCCGTGGCCTAATGGATTAGGCGTCTGACTTCGAATCAGAAGATTGCGGGTTCGAGTCCCGTAGGGGTCGTATGGGCTGCTACGATTTAGTTTTCTGCAAGATTGCACAAGAACACCAGCTGCACTCAATAAAAAAATACGTCGTGAATACTGTTAGCGGATAAGAATTTGCGAAATTAAAGAGATAACATTGATGTGCTGGATCAGATGAGTCAGTCAATTAGACAGGAATTTTAGGATCTAGACATATAAAACGCCTTGTGGCACTATAAAAAAAAACGCAAAATACTATTACATAAAATACCAAGGAATAAGGCATGTGACATCGAATCACATAATTGCGGTCCGAGTCACATTGTGGTCATATGGCGATGCAATAATTGTGTGTGCTGCAAAATTGAACTGCTACACCTGTCACAGCCAAACATGCAACTATTTCAAGATTAAATTTAGCAGGTGCAAATTCGCAAATTCGAAAAATATGGGGATGTGCAGAACCCAACGACTTATTCAATTATCCAGGTAAATAGGAATTCGTAAAAAAATTAGATGGCACAGGATGAAGATGTACTTAAGACTCCGTGGTCTAATGGATAAGGCGTCTGACTTCGAATCAGAAGATTGCGGGTCCGAGTCCCGTCGGGGTCGTATTGGCTGCTACGATTTAGTTTTCTGCAAGATTGCACAAGAACACCAGCTGCACTCAATAAAAAAATACGTCGTGAATACTGTTAGCAGATAAGAATTTGCGAAATTAAAGAGATAACATTGATGTGCTGGATCAGATGAGTCAGTCAATTAGACAGGAATTTTAGGATCTAGACATATAAAACACCTTGTGGCACTATAAAAAAACGCAAAATACTATTACATAAAATACCAATGAATATGGAATGTGACATCGAATCACATAATTGCGGTCCGAGTCACATCGTGGTCGTATGGCGACGCAATAATTGTGTGTTCTGCAAAATTGAACTGCTACACCTGTCACAGCCAAACATGCAACTATTACAAGAATAAATTTAGCAGGTGCAAATTCGCAAATATGGGGATGTACAGAACCAAACGACTTATTCAATTATTCAGGTAAATAGGAATTCGTAAAAAAATTAGATGGCACAGGATGAAGATGTACTTAAGACTCCGTGCCCTAATGGATAAGGCGTCTGACTTCGAATCAGAAGATTGCGGGTTCGAGTCCCGTCGGGGTCGAATGGGCTGCTACGATTTAGTTTTCTGCAAGATTGCACAAGAACACCAGCTGCACTCAATAAAAAAATACGTCGTGAATACTGTTAGCGGATAAGAATTTGCGAAATTAAAGAGATAACATTGATGTGCTGGATCAGATGACTCAGTCAATTAGACAGGAATTTTAGGATCTAGACATATAAAACACCTTGTGGCACTATAAAAAAACGCAAAATACTATTACATAAAATACCAACGAATAAGGCATGTGACATCGAATCACATAATTGCGGTCCGAGTCACATCGTGGTCGTATGGCGACGCAATAATTGTGTGTTCTGCAAAATTGAACTGCTACACCTGTCACAGCCAAACATGCAACTATTTCAAGAATAAATTTACCAGGTACAAATTCGCAAATATGGGGATGTGCAGAACCCAACGACTTATTCAATTATCCAGGTAAATAGGAATTCGTAAAAAAATTAGATGGCACAGGTAGAAGATGTACTTAAGACTCTGTGGCCTAATGGATAAGGCGTCTGACTTCGAATCAGAAAGATTGCGGGTCCGAGTCCCGTCGGGGTCGTATGGGCTGCTACGATTTAGTTTTCTGCAAGATTGCACAAGAACACCAGCTGCACTCAATAAAAAAATACGTCGTGAATACTGTTAGCGGATAAGAATTTGCGAAATTAAAGAGATAACATTGATGTGCTGGATCAGATGAGTCAGTCAATTAGACAGGAATTTTAGGATCTAGACATAAAACACCTTGTGGCACTATAAAAAAACGCAAATTACTATTACATAAAATACCAATGAATAAGGCATGTGACATCGAATCACATAATTGCGGTCCGAGTCACATCGTGGTCGTATAGCGACGCAATAATTGTGTGTTCTGCAAAATTGAACTGCTACACCTGTCACAGCTAAACATGCAACTATTTCAAGAATAAATTCACCAGGTGCTAATTCGCAAATATGGGGATGTGCAGAACTCAACGACATATTCAATTATTCAGGTAAATGGGAATTCGTAAAAAAAATTAGATGGCACAGGATGAAGATGTACTTAAGACTCCGTGGCCTAATGGATAAGGCGTCTGACTTCGAATCAGAAGATTGCGGGTTCGAGTCCCGTCGGGGTCGTATTGGCTGCTACGATTTAGTTTTCTGCAAGATTGCACAAGAACACCAGCTGCACTTAATAAATACTGTTAGCTGATAAGAATTTGCGAAATTAAAGAGATAACATTGATGTGCTGGATCAGATGAGTCAGTAAATTATACAGGAATTTTAGGATCTAGACATATAAAACACCTTGTGGCACTATAAAAAAAAACGCAAAATACTATTACATAAAATACCAACGAATAAGGCATGTGACATTGAATCACATAATTGCGGTCCGAGTGACATTGTGGTCATATGGCGATGCAATAATTGTGTGTTCTGCAAAATTGAACTGCTACACCTGTCACAGCCAAACATGCAACTATTTCAAGAATAAATTTAGCAGGTGCAAATTCGCAAATATGGGGATGTGCAGAACCCAATGACTTATTCAATTATCCAGGTAAATAGGAATTCGTAAAAAAATTAGATGGCACAGGATGAAGATGTACTTAAGACTCCGTGGCCTAATGGATAAGGCGTCTGACTTCGAATCAGAAGATTTCGGGTTCGAGTCCCGTCAGGGTCGTATGGGCCTGCTACGATTTAGTTTTCTGCAAGATTGCACAAGAACACCAGCTGCACTCAATAAAAAAATACGTCGTGAATACTGTTAGCGGATAATAATTTGCGAAATTAAAGAGATAACATTGATGTGCTGGATCAGATGAGTCAGTCAATTAGACAGGAATTTTAGGATCTAGACATAAAACACCTTGTGGCACTATAAAAAAACGCAAATCACTATTACATAAAATACCAATGAATAAGGCATGTGACATCGAATCACATAATTGCGGTCCGAGTCACATCGTGGTTGTATAGCGACGCAATAATTGTGTGTTCTGCAAAATTGAACTGCTACACCTGTCACAGCTAAACATGCAACTATTTGAAGAATAAATTCACCAGGTGCTAATTCGCAAATATGGGGATGTGCAGAACTCAACGACATATTCAATTATTCAGGTAAATAGGAATTCGTAAAAAAAATTAGATGGCACAGGATGAAGATGTACTTAAGACTCCGTGGCCTAATGGATAAGGCGTCTGACTTCGAATCAGAAGATTGCGGGTTCGAGTCCCGTCGGGGTCGTATTGGCTGCTACGATTTAGTTTTCTGCAAGATTGCACAAGAACACCAGCTGCACTCAATAAAAAAATACGTCGTAAATACTGTTAGCGGATAAGAATTTGCGAAATTAAAGAGATAACATTGATGTGCTGGATCAGATGAGTCAGTCAATTATACAGGAATTTTAGGATCTAGACATAAAACACCTTGTGGCACTATAAAAAAACGCAAAGCACTATTACATAAAATACCAACGAATAAGGCATGTGACATCGAATCACATAATTGCGGTCCGAGTCACATCGTGGTCGTATAGCGACGCAATAATTGTGTGTTCTGCAAAATTGAACTGCTACACCTGTCACAGCTAAACATGCAACTATTTCAAGAATAAATTCACCAGGTGCTAATTCGCAAATATGGGGATGTGCAGAACCCAACGACTATTCAATTATCCAGGTAAATAGGAATTCGTAAAAAAATTAGATGGCACAAGATGAAGATGTACTTAAGACTCCGTGGCCTAATGGATAAGGCGTCTGACTTCGAATCAGAAGATTGCGGGTTCGAGTCCCGTCGGGGTCGTATTGGCTGCTACGATTTAGTTTTCTGCAAGATTGCACAAGAACACCAGCTGCACTTAATAAATACTGTTAGCGGATAAGAATTTGCGAAATTAAAGAGATAACATTGATGTGCTGGATCAGATGAGTCAGTAAATTATACAGGAATTTTAGGATCTAGACATATAAAACACCTTGTGGCACTATAAAAAAAAAACGCAAAATACTATTACATAAAATACCAACGAATAAGGCATGTGACATCGAATCACATAATTGCGGTCCGAGTGACATTGTGGTCATATGGCGATGCAATAATTGTGTGTTCTGCAAAATTGAACTGCTACACCTGTCACAGCCAAACATGCAACTATTTCAAGAATAAATTTAGCAGGTGCAAATTCGCAAATATGGGGATGTGCAGAACCCAACGACTTATTCAATTATCCAGGTAAATAGGAATTCGTAAAAAAATTAGATGGCACAGGATGAAGATGTACTTAAGACTCCGTGGCCTAATGGATAAGGCGTCTGACTTCGAATCAGAAGATTGCGGGTTCGAGTCCCGTCGCGGTCGTATGGGCTGCTACGATTTAGTTTTCTGCAAGATTGCACAAGAACACCAGCTGCACTCAATAAAAAAATACGTCGTGAATACTGTTAGCGGATAATAATTTGCGAAATTAAAGAGATAACATTGATGTGCTGGATCAGATGAGTCAGTCAATTAGACAGGAATTTTAGGATCTAGACATAAAACACCTTGTGGCACTATAAAAAAAACCGCAAAATACTATTACATAAAATACCAACGAATAAGGCATGTGACATCGAATCACATAATTGCGGTCCGAGTCACATCGTGGTCGTATAGCGACGCAATAATTGTGTGTTCTGCAAAATTGAACTGCTACACCTGTCGCAGCTAAACATGCAACTATTTCAAGAATAAATTCACCAGGTGCTAATTCGCAAATATGGGGATGTGCAGAACTCAACGACATATTCAATTATTCAGGTAAATAGGAATTCGTAAAAAAAATTAGATGGCACAGGATAAAGATGTACTTAAGACCCCGTGGCCTAATGGATAAGGCGTCTGACTTCGAATCAGAAGATTGCGGGTTCGAGTCCCGTCGGGGTCGTATTGGCTGCTACGATTTAGTTTTCTGCAAGATTGCACAAGAACACCAGCTGCACTTAATAAATACTGTTAGCGGATAAGAATTTGCGAAATTAAAGAGATAACATTGATGTGCTGGATCAGATGAGTCAGTAAATTATACAGGAATTTTAGGATCTAGACATATAAAACACCTTGTGGCACTATAAAAAAAAAACGCAAAATACTATTACATAAAATACCAACGAATAAGGCATGTGACATCGAATCACATAATTGCGGTCCGAGTGACATTGTGGTCATATGGCGATGCAATAATTGTGTGTTCTGCAAAAATTGAACTGCTACACCTGTCACAGCCAAACATGCAACTATTTCAAGAATAAATTTAGCAGGTGCAAATTCGCAAATATGGGGATGTGCAGAACCCAACGACTTATTCAATTATCCAGGTCAATAGGAATTCGTAATAAAATTAGATGGCACAGGATGAAGATGTACTTAAGACTCCGTGGCCTAATGGATAAGGCGTCTGACTTCGAATCAGAAGATTGCGGGTTCGAGTCCCGTCGGGGTCGTATGGGCTGCTACGATTTAGTTTTCTGCAAGATTGCACAAGAACACCAGCTGCACTTAATAAATACTGTTAGCGGATAAGAATTTGCGAAATTAAAGGGGTAACATTGATGTGCTGGATCAGATGAGTCAGTAAATTATACACGAATTTTAGGATCTAGACATATAAAACACCTTGTGGCACTATAAAAAAAAACACGCAAAATACTATTACATAAAATACCAAAGAATAAGGCATGTGACATCGAATCACATAATTGCGGTCCGAGTGACATCGTGGTCGTATAGCGACGCAATAATTGTGTGTTCTGCAAAATTGAACTGCTACACCTGTCACAGCTAAACATGCAACTATTTCAAGAATAAATTCACCAGGTGCTAATTCGCAAATATGGGGATGTGCAGAACTCAACGACATATTCAATTATTCAGGTAAATAGGAATTCGTAAAAAAAATTAGATGGCACAGGACGAAGATGTACTTAAGACTCCGTGGCCTAATGGATAAGGCGTTTGACTTCGAATCAGAAGATTGCGGGTTCGAGTCCCTGTCGGGGTCGTATTGGCTGCTACGATTTAGTTTTCTGCAAGATTGCACAAGAACACCAGCTGCACTTAATAAATACTGTTAGCGGATAAGAATTTGCGAAATTAAAGAGATAACATTGATGTGCTGGATCAGATGAGTCAGTAAATTATACAGGAATTTTAGGATCTAGACATATAAAACACCTTGTGGCACTATAAAAAAAAACGCAAAATACTATTACATAAAATACCAACGAATAAAGCATGTGACATCGAATCACATAATTGCGGTCCGAGTCACATCGTGGTCGTATGGCGACGCAATAATTGTGTGTTCTGCAAAATTGAACTGCTACACCTGTCACAGCCAAACATGCAACTATTTCAAGAATAAATTCACCAGGTGCTAATTCGCTAATATGGGGATGTGCAGAACCCAACGACATATTCAATTATCCAGGTAAATAGGAATTCGTAAAAAAAATTAGATGGCACAGTATGAAGATGTACTTAAGACTCCGTGGCCTAATGGATAAGGCGTCTG